TGTGATTAGGGTAGAAGGAGAGGAAAAACACAAAAAGACACAGGATACCTGTATCCGTAACAGAGTCCTTTAGGTGTCTTTTGGCAAACTCCAAGTGAGCTGTCATGTGCCTATTACTGAGGAGTGGCTTCAGTCTGGCCACTCTACCATAAAGGCCTGATTGGTGGAGTACTGCAGAGATGGTTGTCCTTTTATAAGGTTCTCCCATCTCCACAGAGGAACTCTGGAGCTCTGTTAAAGTGACCATCGGGTTCTTGTTCACCTACCTGACCAAGGCCCTTCTCCCCCGATTGCTCAGTTTGGCCAGGCGGCCAGCTCCAAGAAGAGTCTTGGTGGTTCCAAACTTCTTCTATTTAAGAATGATGGAGGCCACTGTGTTCTTGGGGACCTTCAGTACTGCATACATTTTTTGGTACCCTTCCCCAGATCTGTGCCTCGACACAATCCTGTCTTGGAGCTCTAGGGACAATTCCTTCGACCTCATGGCTTGGTTTTTGCTCTGACATACACTGTCAACTGTGGGACCTTATCTGGACAGGTGTGTGCCTTTCCAAATCATGTCTAATCAATTGAATTTACCACAGGTAGATGCCAATCAAGTTGTAGAAACATCTCAAGGATGATCAATGGAAACAGGATGCACCTGAGCTCAATTTCGAGTCTCATAGCAAAGGGTCTGAATACTTATGTAAATAAGGTATTTCAGTTTTCTTTTACATAAATTAGCAAACTTTTCTAAAAACCTGTTTTCACTTTGTCATGATGGGGTATTGTGTGTAGATTGATGAGTAAAAACATGATTTACTCCATTTTAGAATAAGGCTGTAACGTAATAAAATGTGGAAAAAGTCAAGGGGTCTGAATACTTTCCGAATGCACTATACATTTCATGTTGTCTTATATACAAACACATGGGTGGAGTAGAAAGTGTTGCTGGGCATATAGACCTCAGTCCCCCATGAAATAACACCATATATAGATTCTATAGACCCTAGTGAGTAATCTCAACCCCACTTTTTTCTTTGGCACCTAGAATAGTTTTCTCTCTATAAGCCAATATGTAATTTATACTATAGCTAGTGTATTGCATTGGGGGCATTTATTTTACCTTGGAACATGTTTTAAAACCCACACATAAATTCCACAGACCCTACTGAGTATTCCCTACACTACTTTTACTGTGGCACCTAGAATAGTTTTTGCTCTATAAGCCAATATGTATTCCATATACAGTGATTCACATTGTGGCCAATGGAATGGGTAGAGTAAAAGGCCATATAATTCAGTGCCCCATGAAATGACACCATATATACATTCTACAGACCCTACTGAGTATTCCTTACAATACTTTTACTGCAGCAGCCAGAATAGTTTTTGCTCTGTAAGCCAATATGTATTCCATCACAGGAGATTGGTGGCACCTTAATTGGGGAGGACGGGCTCGTGGTAATGGCTGGAGCGGAATTTATGGAATGGTATCTAATACATCAAACACATGGTTTGATGCCATTCCATTGGCTCCGTTCCGGCCATTATTATGAGCCGTCTTCCCCTCAGCAGCCTCCACTGTATTCCATATACAGTGATTCGCAATGAGGGCATTTATTTGACCTTGGAACTTGTTTTAAAACCCACATTTTATGCAAATGTCACATAAAAATGAACAAATATGAATCCTGAATAATGTTTAGACAAATATTTGTCATATATCATAAATAAATACAAGTTATTTACACTTTTCTACTATTACGTGGGGGACTTTTATTTGGAAAATTTGCTAAATTCCGTGACCCGGAAATCCTGTTTTAGTGTTGCTGATGAGACGCTGATTCTTTTGACAGCCTATCGATGAATAACACACAATTTCAAACAAAACATCGAAAACACACTGACCGTTGCATTGATGTGGTTTGACACTCAGCAGCCGTAATTGTAAAGGTAAGCCATTTTATCAGACTTGCTGATACGATAGCTAACGTTACCTCACAACAGCCATTTCTTTGCAGTCAACGTTGTTGGCAAGCTAACGGTAAAGTTAGCCTTTAATCACATTCATAGAATGTTTGATAATGTCTGATGTTAGCTTGCTCGCTAATTAGGTAGCTAGCTAACGCTTGTCAGCTTTCAACGCAAGCTTATATTTGGAAAATATTGATGCAGTTCGTCAGCTATCAGTACGTTAGCTACTAACTAACTAGCTAACCAGGTTGAACTTCTAAGTAGCAGCTAGCTAACGTGAGATAACTAACCGTTACTTTGCTAGCTAATTTGCGTTGCTAGCTAACCACCTAGCTAGCTAGTACTACTGCATTGCTGGACGAAAACAAAACCGACTGCACGGTACCGTTAGCAGCTATCGATGCAGATTTATTCTAAAACCAACAAGGAGTTTCCTAGATGGCAAACTAACTTTGTGGGCCTTTGTGATTTCCAAACAGCTAGTTAGCCAACTAGCGTAGAGTTTCCGCAGTATTGGGACGTGTATGTTGTTGGTCCCATGAAAGACCGATTGTGTGGAATGCAACTCGAGTCATTCCTGCCTGCGTGGCCACCGGCACTGCTAGACATGGGTTGCTAATGTTAACTTAGCCGGCTAATTCACGAGTCCTCAGTAGTTAGCTACCTAGTATCTACTTTTTCTGTTATGCATTTTTATTAATTCTCAACAAGTCCGTTTCTTGTCTATTTTGGGCTCCCGAAATAACCTTTCAAATGACAGCCCTTTAATTTGAGTGGAAACATGATTGCTGTTTTTGATGAGGGTGGCAATTTGATCATCCAGCTGACTGGAATGTTGTTGTTAGCTATGATGATTTACATTACATTATTTAGCAGACGCTCTTATCCAGATCGACTTACAAATTGGTGCATTCAACTTATGATAGCCAGTGGGACAACCACTTTTTTTTTTTTTTATTGGGGTAGGGGAAGGAGGATTACTTTATACTATTCCAGGTATTCCTTAAAGAGGTAGGGTTTCAAGTGTCTCCGGAGACTCCGCTGTTGTGGGGGAGCTTGTTCCACCATTGGGGTGCCTAGAGCAGCGATGATTCTGTGACATTGACAGTGGCACTTTGACATATGGCAAGGACCAGAGCCATACATTTAGAATAAATACATGGCTCTGGCCATGTTATGCAGGCTCATTTGCCATGTTGCAGGCAGTTTGCTTATTTGCCCCAAATAGCACAACAACCCCCATCTATGGACAATCTCATCAATATCTTTGTCCTGAAAACACCCATTACCAACCGATCAATACATCCATCTCAGCTAATGTGGGTCTGTATGAGAGGAGCCCTGCTCTGGAGCCTCCATGTCCTGTCCTGGGTCTGTTACCCCAGCTCAACTCTCCTCTGTTGGGGGAGAGGACAGGATAGAATATTCCTGTTTCCCTGGAGATGTGGAGCCAGACAGGCGAGGGTCACTGTCTGACAGCCCAAAACAGACTGGCTTCTTATTCTTTTTCTTTTAGTTTTATGGCAGACTACACCTATTGGTGTATTGCCGCCACCGACTGTACGGGGTAGTGAAACAAAAAAGATTCCATTGTGGGAAGGGGGGGGATCGACATAATATAAAATACCCCCCAAAATAAAAACATCCCACTCCTTCAGTCACATTCAAATCACATCCCTACACAGGCTCAGGTGCCTGTGAGGACGGAGCAGAATTCCTTGTAATTCCTCTGCAGAAAAATCCCTGAGTCCCAAGAAATGCTCAGCCGCACTCACAATGAAGCCTATTTTCTGATTTCCTCTCCGTTTGCACTGTGCAGTTGATAACCAAATGACTAAACGCTAAAGTCCACCTTCTTAACATGCAACATGTCAGGATCCCTCTGTTGACAAGGAACATCGTATTGTGTCTCTACTCCTACTATCATTACTTCATCAACATCACTCCTTTCTTCCACTCTACTCAACGCCTCCGGATAGGAGACATGCTGGACAGCCCTTATTCTTGCCACCTCTGTCTCCTTCACCCTAACAGGACACTTCAGTAATGTGGGTGCATGTTCACCACCACAATTGCAGCATAAAAACAATTATGAAAAAATAATAATAATTGTAAAGTGGTTGTCCCACTGGCTATCATAAGGTGAATGCACCAATTTGTAAGTCGCTCTGGATAAGAGCGTCTGCTAAATGACAAAAATGTAAATGTATATTTAGGCTCAGCTGGCATATAATACTCCTTCCGTCTACTTACACTTGACACATGACCAAGTAATGTACATTTATCACACTGCATGGGTTTGGGCATGAAGAACAGACTGGCTGCAGTAGAGAGTAGAGGGCGGGAAAAGAAAGAAGTAGAGAGGGGTTGGGGGACGACAACAGAGAAGACATAAAAAGGGAGAAGAAAAGCAAGGTATCCAATTTCAAAACATAAAACGTTGTTTTGAAAGACAGGGAGTGATAGGCTAGATGGATCCTGTAACTGATCCTGTAACTGGTGGGAGAACAGCCAGTGGGTTAGGCTGGGTTTGATGTTGTCAGTAAAGTGATTGTTTAAAACCCCGGGTGTGGATCCAGGAGTCAGTCAGGTTTGTCTAGGTATGGGTGTGTCTCTGAGCTCTGATGACACAGATTAGAGTTGTAATCTGTTATGAATTGAGCCCAATAATTATACATTACTTTGTCATCATGCTCCTGCCTATCATTTGCCGGCCTGGCCAGCATCTAGGCTCCTGCTGTTTCTGTATGTCTGTCAACAAGTTACTTTAAAAAAAATATCTAACTGTTTTTCATCACTAATGTCCTCTCTGACCTCCTCTCCTCCTCTGTCTACAGGGTGGTTGCTGATACAGTAGGGGCCTGGTCAAGCTGTGGGTCTTGTGGTGAGACAGAGATCCACACCTCCTGCCCTACAGAAGGGTGTGGGAGCTGGGAAGGGGGAGGTGACTAGAGTGGGAGGCAGGTGCCATGCTCCAGGGGTGAGGTGGGGAAGAGGGGGACACACACGGGTCAGGGGTGTTTGCTGAGGTTGCAGAGGAGATGAAGTTGAAGCAGCGCGTGGTGGTGCTGGTTGCCGTGCTACTCCTGTTGGGGCTTGCCAAACTTTTTCTGTTGGACGGAGGAGAGGGGTCCGCAGCCAGCCGACGAGACCTCAGAGCTTTCCGCAAGGTAGGGGTGTGTCTTTGTGTCAGTGTGTATTTATTGTAGCTGGTGCCTGCATGTAACACACACATTTCTATCCGTGTGTGTTATCAGATGGAGTCAGGCCTGTCTCTCTCCCGCGGTGCCCGGCTAACACACACTCTCCAGTCTCCATGGGAGGTGGCAGGCCAGTGGGTGGGCCCCAGGGAGGTGTACCCTGAGGAGACCCCTGAGCTGGCAGCCGTCCTCACCGCGCTGGGCACTGCCAGGGTGGAGCGGGCAGATGTGGGCTACAAGGGCACCCAGCTCAAAGCTCTACTAGTACTGGACGGGGGGCAGAAGGTGGTCTTTAAACCCAAGCGGTGAGAGCGAGAACACACACATACACAGTCCATTCTTTGGTTCTGTGCTGCTGAACAGTCCTCAGGAACTGAGTGTCCTTGTTTCACTCTGACATCTGTGTGTTTGTTGTCTGGTTCTGTTAGGTCAGATTAGGCACTGTGCTTTTACTCTGTGGTTTATGTAAGAGGATAACTCTCTCCATCACTCCCTCCCTTCCATCTCTCCCTCCCTCCCTCTCTTTCTAGGTATAGTAGAGACTATGTGGTAGAAGGAGAGCCGTATGCAGGTTATGACAGACACAATGCAGAGGTGGCAGCTTTTCACCTGGACAGGTACGCGCGCACACACACGTATCGGTCTTATGCATTAATATATACATTTTACATTAGGGATTGGGAATCTGGATACTGGTGTTGCTAGTTGTATCTGAGTGTATGTCCTGTGTATGTGCTGTAGGATCCTGGGCTTCAGGAGAGCACCTCTAGTGGTAGGGAGGTTTGTCAACCTGAGGACTGAGATCAAACCTGTCACTACGGACCAGCTACTCAGTACCTTTCTAATGCAGGGTGAGATGCTAGCACACACACACACGGACAGACACATACACACTTGGACACACACACACACACACTACAGGGCTCTGTTCGGTCCCACCCATAATATGTTTGCAAATAGACATGCCACTCCTTAAACGTTGATAAGATAATGTGTGTCCGGGTTCAAGCAGCAGTGGGCTAGATCTCTCTCTCTAAATGGAAATGGTTAACCTCTCTCCCTCCCCCTCTCTCTCTCCAGGTAATAATAGTTGTTTCTATGGGAAGTGTTACTACTGTAGAGAGAGTGAGCCGGCATGTGCGGAGGGAGAGAAGATGGAGGGATCGATAACTCTCTGGCTGCCAGACGTCTGGCCGCTCCAGAAACATAGACACCCCTGGGGACGCACCTACAGGGAGGGCAAACTGGCCAGGTGTGTGTATTAACTATTTGTCTGTGGTATATGTTAACTGTGTGTGGTTGAGTATTCATTTTGTGTGTGTGTAGGTGGGAGTATGATGAGAACTACTGTGATGCGGTAAAGAAGATGCCTCCGTACGACGCTGGTCCCAGACTGCTGGACGTCATCGACACGGCCATCTTTGATTATCTCATCGGCAACGCAGACCGACATCATTATGAGAGTTTCCAAGACGATGGAGGAGCCAGCATGCTCATCCTGCTGGATAACGCAAAGAGGTGGAACACATACACACTCTACTTATTGTAGCTAATGTTAGCACATGAACGGTATAAACACATTTAGGTACTCTAGACATGATGACTAAGATGACCTCTCCTTCACCTCTCTCCCTTCATCTCTCCATCCCCCACATCACTCCTCTTTTCTAGGGGTGTAACGGTTTGGTACATATTGTGGTTACGGTTCGGTTTCGGTACAGCGTAAATTAACAATGTTCAACATTCACAATGTTCCTTGCATTGTCTGTTGTGACCGAATTGTTATGATTGACCTCTCAAGTTTCCACTCTGATGCTGCATGTTGGAGGTGGGAATTAACCAGTTGTGAAGTCGTAGATACCAGTTGTATGCATTCATGTGATTTGAACTTGTTGAGAAACGCAGATTGGCTAATGGTCAACAAGCTGTGTCAACCATAAACTTAAAGTACAGTGATCATGCTTGTAAACAAATTATAGAGTTCAAAAACCACATTTAATAGATTGCTTTTTATAAATAATGTTTTGTTAAATTTAACTGCTGAAAATGCTGTTATAGAGGCCATTTCCTAAGTAGGGGACGTCAGAGGTCACCATGTGAGAGAAGTTGGTGCTCAGGATGATTGACGAGTTTCCCACTAGTAATTACCAGTTTGAGAGCTGTTCAAGTGAATTTTTCCCAGTCATGTGGTAAATTCCCACTTGGTTATGAACGCACCATGACACTGCCTCCTTCAGTGCCAGATGCGCACTTGTGACTCTCATAAAGGGGGCATGTCTGTAGCACGGTACATCTCCCACTCCGGTGTATTGTGATGGGCTGTCACTGTTAAGTAAGCGCAACACAGGGTGCATTGGTTAAAAACGTCCTGCTTTAGTTTGCTTATATAGAGCGTAAGGCTGACCCCGTTTAGTTGACTGGCCGATTGTTTGGTTGATAGGCAGTTGGTCGACCGAGATTTCTTTAGTCGAGCAGTCTCAATTTTAATTTTATGGTGCACAAAACACCTGTCTAATTCATGCCTGTCTCATTGGACTAATCCATTGTGGAGGCCACAGCGATGGCACAGTCCATCACTCTAAGACATCTGATACTGAAATTGTATATGGTTATATTATGTAAAAAAATTATGGTGCAACACTAATAAATTGAATATTATTTTATAACAAATGCACTTTCTCCTGCTTTGGAAATGGTCGCTGTCCGCGGTTCTGAAACATAATCTTTAGTGTGCTGTAGAATTGCCGCCTTTCCCTATTTTGCTATGTGCATAATAGCAAAATTAACCAGCATATTGGGATTGAGAACAATACAGTGGAAGCAACAGCAGCCGAGACGAGGAAACAGCCCTTGCCTTAAGCCCTCTTTGGACGGGATTAGTTTTACTGGGGGTGGTCCGGTAATGTAATTATGTGCACAAGCACAAAACACCACATCTGTAATTTTAGTCCTGTCCGAATCTGCCATGTCAGTAATTTGTACATGGCATGAGAGGTAACAATTCCAGCTAGAATAACCTACTGTTTTTTTGGTGAACTCCAAGGTCCTCTGATAATACAAGTCCCGTGTGAATCGACATCCCTGTGTTTTGAGAGAAATGTCTGAGTTTGACAGGTTTTGTTCACGGTTTGAGCAAGAAAACAATAATTGATTTGATAAATTGAATGAAGTGCTGCGCATAGCCTATATATGAAGGGCATACATGTATCAACTTTCACAGTGAATGCTTTTGTTCATATGTTTTGTGCGTATGAATAGAATATTGCCAAATGCATCAGTAAAACATATTGTGCCTATTTAATGTAACCCTTGCTGTTAATAGATCGCAAAGCAGCATACAACCTACCTAAATGTTTGGAAATGATACGTTCACTTTCTCATTCATAGCCTTAAAACGCATCTCAAGTGCAAGTGCACTGTTTAGCTCACATCTGAAGGCTGGGGGCATTTAGGACGTCTATTGCGGATCACTAAAATATCCTAATGATTCTGATAACACTTCCTCAATTCAAATATTATGGGGCACTATACCAAAGAGGTTTGGTATGGTTTAACTTGGGAACCAAGCTTGAGTTATCAGTGTAGCCCTGTTATCGCCTGGACTTGAAATATCTTCACACCTAGAAAATAACCTCCAGGCTTCCATCATAACTGTCAATTTATTGGAAAAAAAGAAAAGATTACAGGGGGCAGTTTGGAAAAACGAATCCTGTCCAAATCATCCTCTGGAATAACGGACATTCTGGGGTAATAAATACATAACCAACGTTCTAAAGTAATACTAGTCCCATGCGAATAGGGCTTAGCCTAATTGTCTAAGAAAATTGAGGATAGAGCAAACCCCAACTTAATTAGGTCTATAATCAATAGCCTAACTGTTAAATGTGCCTGTCTTTATAAATCATCCATATACAGTACCAGTCAAAAGTTTGGACACACCTACTCATACATTGTAGAATAATAGTGAAGACATCAAAACTATGAAGTAACACAAATGGAATCATGCAGTAACCAAAAAAGTGTTAAACAAATCAAAATAGATTTTAGATTCTTCAAAGTAGCCACCCTTTGCCTTGATGACAGCTTTGCACCCTCTTGGCATTCTCTCAACCAGCTTCACCTGGAATGCTTTTCCAACAGTCTTGAAGGAGTTCCCACATATGCTGAGCACTTGTTGGCTGCTTTTCCTTCACTCTGCGGTCCGACTCATCCCTAACTATCTCAATTGGGTTGAGGTCGCGTGATTGTGGAAGCTAGGTCATCTGATGCAGCACTCCATCACTCTCCTTCTTGGTCAAATAGCCCTAACGCAGCCTGGCTGATAGTCCCACTAAGCGCAAATCAGATGGGATGGCGTATCGCTGCAGAATGCTGTGGTAGCCATGCTGGTTAAGTGTGCCTTGAATTCTAAATAAATCAGTGTCACCAGCAAAGCACCCCCAAAACATCACACCACCTCCTCCATTTTTCACGGTGGGAACCACACATGCGGAGATCATCCGTTCACCTACTCTGCGTCTCACAAAGACACGGCGGTTGGAACCAAAAATCTCCAATTTGGACTCATCAGACCAAAGGACAGATTGCCACCAGTCTAATGTCCATTGCTCGTGTTTCTTGGCCCAAGCAAGTCTCTTCTTCTTATTGGTGTCCTTTAGTAGTGGTTTCTTTGCAGCAATTCGACCATGAAGGCCTGATTCACGCAGTCTCCTCTGAACAGTTGATGTTGAGATGTCTGTTACTTGAACTCTGTGAAGCATTTATTTGGGCTGCAGTTTCTGAGGCTGGTAACTCTAATGAACTTATCCTCTGCAGCAGAGGTAATTCTGGGTCTTCCTTTCCTGTGGCGGTCCTCATGAGAGCCAGTTTCATCATAGTGCTTGATGGTTTTTGCGACTGCACTTGAAGAAACGTTCAAAGTTCTTGACATTTTCTGTGTTGACTGACCTTCATGTCTTAAAGTAATGATGGACTGTCGTTTCTCTTTGCTTATTTGAGCTGTTCTTGCCATAATATGGACTTGGTCTTTTACCAAATAGGGCTATCTTCTGTATACCCCCCCCCCCCCCCCCACACACCTTGTCACAACACAACTGACTGGCTCAAACGCATTAAGAAGGAAAGAAATTCCACAAATTAACTTTTAACAAGGCACACCTGTTTAATTGAAATGCATTCCAGGTGACTACCTCATGAAGCTGGTTGAGAGAATTCCAAGAGTGTGCAAAGCTGTCATCAAGGCAAAAGGTGGCTACTAAAATCTAAAATATATTTTGATTTGTTTAACACTTTTTTGCTTACTGCATGATTCCATGTGTTATTTCATAGTTTTGCCTGTTTGAGTGTTTGTTTAATAGCCTACTGATTTCGTGAGCACCAAGTCTCATGCAACAGAAAAATGTTGGATAAAGCAATTTCACAGATGTGGCTGTTTTTAATCTTTGCTGTGCTGTAATAAAGGCTTTACCATTTTTTCCCTTTAGAACAGACAGGTATTACTTATTTAGTGTTGTTTACACTGTTCCAAACAGGCAGAAAAATTATATTATAATCTAACAGCATATTTCTGTCACACATAATATGCACGCAGCTCTCGTTTCTATACCCGCCTTTTTCTTAATCTCCTTCTTGTTATAATTCAATTATTATTATGATCATGTCTCCCGAGTGGTGCAGTGGTCTAAGGCACTGCATCGCAGTGCTAGCTGTGCCACTAGAGATCCTGGTTCGAGTCCAGGCTCTGTCGCAGCCTGCCGCGACCGGGAGACCCATGGGCGGCGCACAATTGGTCCAGCGTCGTCCAAGGTAGGGGAGGGTTTGGCCGGCAGGGATGTGGGTTTGTTTCCCACGTGGGGCCAGAATGAAAAAAAACATGTATGCATTCACTAACTGTAAGTCGCTCTGGATAAGAGCGTCTGCTAAATGACTAAAATGTAAAATGTAAATGAATCCAGGCTCTGTCGTAGCCGGCCGCGACCGGGAGACCCATGGGGCGGCACACAATTGGCACAGCGTCGTCCAGGGTAGGGGAGGGAATGGCCGGCAGGGATTTGGCTCAATTGGTAGAGCATGGCGTTTGCAACGCCAAGGTTGTGGGTTCGTTTTCCACGGTATAAACAGTATAATTTAAAAAATATATATATATATAATAATGTATGCACTCACTAACTGGAAGTCGCTTTGGATAAGAGCGTCTGCTAAATGACTAAAAAAAGTAAAAAAATAAAATAATAAGTAATGTCGTTATCATTAGTAGGCTTTGTATAGTAGCCTTGTATAACCCCCATCGAGCTGTAGGTATAAGAGCGCGTCCTGTTTAGTCTTAATACCGGAACTTACAGTATTTAGGCCTATATTTCAATATATAAGCTACTGTATCAATCAATCATTCATTTGTTCATGCCATCACACAGTATACGAGACATACATGCTTTGAAATGCAATCAATCATTTTCATTTTAAAATTAAATAACAAATGGAGCTTTGAATAATTAGCGTAAACATAAATTAACCGCAATTCACGAATGCATGCAACTGTTTTTAGTCTCCTGTAATAAAGACTTTATTTTATTTATTTTTCATTAGCGCAGACTCTCTGGTACACTTATTTATTTAGTGTTGTTTACACTGTTCCAAATGGTCCGAGAAAATAATATTGTAATCTGACAGCAACTGTTTGGCACACAAAATACTCACGCAACGCTTGCTCCTATACCCTCCCTTTTCTCCATTAGTAAACATTCTGTTTACTACTCAAGTTTATTTTTCACGTCCTCCGCATCCATTTCGCATAACCTATTTATTGATGTGATTATGATAGGCTATAGTTAAGGCCCTATTGGTCACATGCATGCGATGTTTACATGTTTCACGTAAAGAGAGCAAGGGTTTTCCTAAACAAAATCTAATCTAATTTTATTTGTCACATGCGCCGAGTACAACAGGTGTAGTAGACCTTACCGTGAATTGCCTACTTACAAGCCCTTAACCAACAATGCAGTTCAAGAAATAGAGTTAAGAAAATATTTACTAAATAAACGAAAGTAAAAAAATATATATCAAAAAGTAACACAAGAAAATTACAAAACAATAACGAGGCTATATACAAGGGGGTACCAGTACCGAATCAGTGTGCGGGGGTACAGGTTAGTCGAGGTAATTTGTAAAGTGACTATGCATAGATAATAAACAGCAAGTAGCAGCAGTGTAAAAACAAACTGCGGGGGATGGGGTCGTCAATGTATATAGTCCGGGTGGCCATTTGATTAATTTTTCATCAGTCTTATGGCTTGGGGGTAAAAGCTGTTAAGGAGCCTTTTGGTCCTAGAATTGGTGCTCCGGTACCGCTTGCCGTGCGGTAGCAGAGAGAACAGTCTATGACTTGGGTGACTGGAGTCTTTGTGTATGGGATTTAGGTAACAGAACTTTTCAGTCAGAAACAAGTAAGAAACTAAATGGCTGAAATGATGTTGCAGCTTCAGCATGGACAGCGCAATAAACACTTGCTGTGCTGTGGTACCTTTTCCCTGCAGTAGGGAGGAGAGCGAGACAACGTGCGCCAGTCACACAGGCACTCGCTGTCTTTTTTTTTTTTTTTACACAGTGTGACCATCAGGCTCTTTCTTGAGTAATTTGCGTTTATTTAATCAAACAGTGTGCTGAAAGCATCAGACAAGCTCAGTGCATATGTAGTTGGTTTAATTCAAACACATAGGATGTGTCTGTCTATATATGGAAAAATAAGTTTAAACATGTTGACCAATCGATTGCTCGAAAGAACGGGACTACCAATATATATTTTTTGTCGGGGACAGCCCAAATAGAGCAGGTAAAATTGGTCTTCCTGAAATTGGTGCAAGAGGGAAGTTCGTAATGTGGCGCGAGCACTTTCACGAGGTGCTGAAACCCCCTATTCTCAGCCACCGAGAATGGGTGCATATCCACGGCTATAAACCAAAGATTGTACAAATTCTCGTGTAATTTCTTAGGCCCGGTCAGAATCAGCTGCCAAGGGTTGATTGAATGCAGAGGGGAGACGATGTGTTGTTTCTTTGCGTTTCATTTTTGCTCTGGTATACTGGGTTGGTGTCGGCGTAAATGTGTCAACATATTTGAGGTGTTGGCAGCTGCATATGCTATTCTCGTTAAGCGTGGCGACATACTGTTAACGTTTTATCCACAACTCTGTCCATCGCCATTGTAATCTACTGGGAAGCCAAAATATTCCCAAACTGGAGATTTAAACGATGATGGGGGATCCTCCAATTCTGGTTTATCGACCCCACCACTCGCCATCGTACAGAACTAGGAGACCGAACTGAGGTCCATTACACCCCATCGTTCGCATAACCTTCATTCAACTATGTAAAGAAAAAAGTATTTAATAAGATTATTTCATTCATTCAGATCTAGGATGTGTTATTTTTGTGTTCCCTTAATTTTTTTGAGCAGTGTATATTAACAAAACAAAAACACTAGGCCTATAGGCTATAAATAAAAATAAAAATAATATGCCATTTAGCTGACGCTTTTATCCAAAGCGACTTACAGTCGTGCGTGCATACATTTTTTTTTGTATGGGTGGTCCTCTGTAGCTCAGCTGGTAGAGCACGGCGCTTGTAACGCCAAGGTAGTGGGTTCGAACCCCGGGACCACCCATACACAAAAAAATGTATGCACGCACGACTGTAAGTCGCTTTGGATAAAAGCATCAGCTAAATGGCATATTATTTTTATTTTTATTTATAGCCTATAGGCCTAGTGTTTTTGTTTTGTTAATATACACTGCTCAAAAAAATTAAGGGAACACAAAAATAACACATCCTAGATCTGAATGAATGAAATAATCTTATTAAATACTTTTTTCTTTACATAGTTGAATGTGCTGACAACAAAATCACACAAAAATTATCAATGGAAATCAAATTTATCAACCCATGGAGGTCTGGATTTGGAGTCACACTCAAAATTAAAGTGGAAAACCACACTACAGGCTGATCCAACTTTGATGTAATGTCCTTAAAACAAGTCAAAATGAGGCTCAGTAGTGTGTGTGGCCTCCACGTGCCACACACGTGGAGGCCACACCATCCTGATGAGGTGGTGGATGGTCTCCTGAGGGATCTCCTCCCAGACCTGGACTAAAGCATCCGCCAACTCCTGGACAGTCTGTGGTGCAACGTGGCGTTGGTGGATGGAGCGAGACATGATGTCCCAGATGTGCTCAATTTGATTCAGGTCTGGGGAACGGGCGGGCCAGTCCAAAGCATCAATGCCTTCCTCTTGCAGGAACTGCTGACACACTCCAGCCACATGAGGTTTAGCATTGTCTTGCATTAGGAGGAACCCAGGACCAACTGCACCAGCATATGGTCTCACAAGGGGTCTGAGGATCTCATCTCGGTACCTAATGGCAGTCAGGCTACCTCCTAATGGCTGTGCGGCCCCCCAAATAAATGCCACCCCACACCATGACTGACCCACCGCCAAACCGGTCATGCTGGAGGATGTTGCAGGCAGCAGAACGTTCTCCACGGCGTCTCCAGACTCTGTCACGTCTGTCACATGTGCTCAGTGTGAACCTGCTTTCATCTGTGAAGAGCACAGGGTGCCAGTGGCAAATTTGCCAATCTTGGTGTTCTCTGGCAAATGCCAAACGTCCTGCACGGTGTTGGGCTGTAAGCACAACCCCCACCTGTGGACGTCGGGCCCTCATACCACCCTCATGGAGTCTGTTTCTGACCCTTTGAGCAGACACATGCACATTTGTGGCCTGCTGGAGGTCATTTTGCAGGGCTCTGGCAGTGCTCCGCCTGCTCCTCCTTGCACAAAAGCGGAGGTAGCGGTCCTGCTGCTGGGTTGTTGCCCTCCTACGGCCTCCTCCACGTCTCCTGATGTACTGGCCTGTCTCCTGGTAGCGCGTCCATGCTCTGGACACTACGCTGACAGACACAGCAAACCTTCTTGCCACAGCTCGCATTGATGTGCCATCCTGGATGAGCTGCACTACCTGAGCCACTTGTGTGGGTTGTAGACTCCGTCTCATGCTACCACTAGAGTGAAAACACCGCCAGCATTCAAAAGTGACCAAAACATCAGCCAGGAAGCATAGGAACTGAGAAGTGGTCTGTGGTCACCATCTGCAGAACCACTCCTTTATTGGGGGTGTCTTGCTAATTGCCTATAATTTCCACCTGTTGTCTATTCCATTTGCACAACAGCATGTGAAATGTATTGTCAATCAGTGTTGCTTCCTAAGTGGACAGTTTGATTTCACAGAAGTGTGATTGACTTGGAGTTACATTGTGTTGTTTAAGTGTTCCCTTTATTTTTTTGAGCAGTATATATTTTTTATATATTCATTGGGTTCACAGTGCGGACCGAACTGTTTACCATTACACCCCTACTCTTTTCCCACTGATCCTGTTGATTAATCTGCTGAGCTGAGTGTGTCCTAGACTGTGTGTTATGACAATATGTATGCAGGTGCTTTAATAGGGATGTAACGAGTCACCGTTAAGGTGCGTTGGCATATAACGCGAATGTCTAGCAACCCAAAGGTTGCGTGTTTGAATCTCATCATGGACAACTTTAGCATTTTAGCTAATTAGCAACTTTTCAACTACTTGCTACTTTGCAACAACACTGAACAAAAATATAAATGCAACATGTAAAGTGTTGGTCCCATGTTTCTTGAGATGAAATTAAAGATCCCAGACATTTTCCATAGACACTAAAAGCTTATTTCTATCAAATGTTTTGCACAAATTTGTTTACTTCCCTGTTAGTGAGCATTTCTCCTTTGCCAAGATAACCCATCCACCTGACAGATGTCGCATATAAAGAAGCTGATTAAACAGCATGATCATTACACAGGTGCACATTGTGCTGGGAACAATAAAAGTCCACTCTAAAATGTGCAGTTTTGTCACACAACACAATGCCACAGATGTCTGAAATTTTGAGGGAGCATGCAATTGGTATGCTGACTGCAGTAATGTCCACCACAGCTGTTGCCAGATAATTTAATGTTAATTTCTGTACCATAAGCGGCCTCCAACGTTGTTTTATGGAATTTGTGAGTACGTCCAACTGGCCTCACAACCGCAGACCACGTATACGGCATTGTGTGAGTGAGCTGTTTGCTGATTTCAACGTTGTAAACAGAGTGCCCCATTGTGGCGGTAGGGTTATGGTATGGGCAGGCATAAGCTACGGACAACGAACACAATTGCATTTTATCGATGGCAATTTGAATGCACAGAAAAACCGTGACGAGATCCTGAGGCCCATTGTCGTGCCATTCATCCGCCGCCATCACCTCATGTTTCCGCATAATGTACAGCTCCATGTTGCAAGGATCCGTACACAATTCCTGGAAGCTGAAAATGTCCTGGCCTGCATACTCACCTGACATGCCACCCATTGTGCATGTTTGGGATGCTCTGAATCGACGTGTACAATACTGTGTTCCAGTTCCCGCCAATATCCAGCAACTTCGCAAATCGACAATCAACAGCCTGATCAACTCTATGCAAAGGAGATTTCTCACACTGGTATGAGGCAAATGGTGGTCACACCAGATGCTGACTGGTTTTCTGATCCACGCCCCTAACTATTTTTTGTTGCATATCTGTATCCCCAGTCATGTGAAATCCATCGATTAGGGCCTAATGAATTTATTTCAATTGACTGATTTCCTTATATGAACTGTAGCTCAGTAAAATCTTTGAAATTGTTGCGTTTTATATTTTTGTTCAGTATACTTAGGGTTAGGGGAAGGGTTAGCTAACATGCTAACTATTTTAGCGAACCCTTCCCCTAACCCTTTAACCTAACTCCTAAACTTAACCCTAACCTTAACTCTAACCCAGCTAACATTAGCCAGCTAGCTAACGTTAGCCACCTAGCTAGAATGCATAACATATCATTCATTTTGCAAATTCGTTACATATTGTACATTTTGCTAATTTGTAATCAATTTGTAATTCGTAACATGTCATAGGAAATGGGTGATGGACATCCAGAAATTAATACATACCATACGAAATGTAACATATCATACTAAATGCAGTGTCTCGGATTTATGTTCAAATGTTTGTAAAATGGCTTGCGCGATATTAGACTTTATTTGTTTTTATTAAATGTCCTGTTGAAAATGTTGTTTTACCGGAATAAAAGTAGCCTAAGCAACCGCTGGAGCAGAGTATTTGAGCGAGTGGAGCAGTCGGAAATCCCTCACGGATGAATTAACAAGAATATTTAACAAAGAGCCCATCTACTTTTGTGACTGTGCCATTTGGTTTTGAAATAGGCTATCGTAAGAAGCTTCAACATTTCAACAACATGTCGAAGGCTATTAAACAAGGACCTGCCTGATTTTATATGCGGCTACTTTAAAAAAAAACAAATGGCTTTTTCTCAAATGTATTGATGATCAGATACTTCAGTTGTAACTGGCTCTGTTGCACTCACATTTTACAGTTGATAGGCAACTGTAGCACTGTTACAAACTTACACTGCTCTTTTTTAACAATGGCCTATATAGAAATCAAAACATCTCCGGTGCTGCTGCATGGGCTCATTCGTTGCCTTGCTATCAATTAGGCTACACAAGCTGTGTGACTTATTTCTTGGTCGACACATATAAGCATCTCTACGCATTAGTGGTGCGGCAGGCAAAATAAATACAACAGAATAAGCCTAATTAAAAGAACAGTGATGAATTAAATGAAAAATGTTGGGCAAACCATGCCCAGAGCTCGGGCTGAGCGTTACCGGAGCGAAATTGCAGCGGGAGAGAAGACTGAAGCTCCAACACGGTCTAAGGCACTGCATCGCATGTGTTGCGGGGTCACTACAGACTGGGGTTCAATCCCAGGCTGTGTCACAACCGGCCGTGACCGGGAGTCCCATATGGCAGCGCACAATTGGCCCAGCGTCGTCCGGGTTAGGAGAGGGTTTGGCCGGGGGGGGCTTTTCTTGGCTCATCGCGCTCTAGCGACTCCTTGTGGCGGGCCGTGCACCTGCAGGCTGACTTCGGTCTTCAGTTGAACGGTGTTTCCTCCGACACATTGGTGCAGCTGCCTTCCAGGTTAAGCGAGCTGGTGTTAAGAAGCGCGGCTTGGCGGGTCATGTTTCGGAGGACGCATGGCTCAACTTTCGCCTCTCCTGACCCCGTTGGGGAGTTGCAGCGATGAGACAATATTGTATTCACGAAATTGGGGAGAAAAAGGGGGGTAGAAATTACAACAACTAAAAATATGGTTTATGGCTTGCGCAACATTGCAACCTATGTTTGAGATCAAAGTGTGGCAGTGTGAAGCGTGCCTGTATCTCTCACCGAACTAGAATGAGTTTCACTTTCTATAACCTCTCTCTGCTCTGATCGACATGAGCCTGCAACTCTCATCTCTCCAGCGTTGCACTTCATAATTTATTTCCTTATAAACTCAGCAAAAAAGGAAACGTCCTCTCACTGTCAACTGCGTTTTATTCCAGCTAACTTAACATACAGTTGAAGTCGGAAGTTTACAATTCAATGTATCACAATTCCAGTGGGTCAGAAGTTTACACTAAGTTGATTGTGCCTTTTAAACAGCTTGGAAAATTCCATAAAATGATGTCATGGCTTTAGAAGCTTCTGATAGGCTAATTGACATAATTTGAGTCAATTGGAGGTGTACCTGTGGAAATATTTCAAGGCCTACCTTCAAACTCAGGGCCTCTTTGCTTTATATCATGGGAAAATCAAAAGAAATCAGCCAAGACCTCAGAATTTTTTGGGGGACCTCCACAAGTCTGGTTCATCCTTGGGAGCAATTTCCAAACGCCTGAAGATACCATGTTCATCTGTACAAACAATAGTATGCAAGTATAAACACCATGGGAACCACGCAGCCGTCATACCGCTCAGAAAGGAGATGCGTTCTGTCTCCTAGAGATGAACATACTTTGGTGCAAAAAGTTCAAATCAATCCCAGAACAACAGCAAAGGACCTTGTGAAGATGCTGGAGGAAACTGGTACAAAAGTGTCTATAGCCACAGTAAAACGAGTCCTATATCGACATAACCTGAAAGCCCACTCAGCAAGGAAGAAGCCACTGCTCCAAAACCGCCAGACTACGCTTTACAACTGCACATGGGGACAAAGATCGTACTTTTTTTAGAAATATCCTCTGGTCTGATGAAACAAAAATAGAACTGTTTGGCCATAATGACCATCGTTATGTTTGGAGGAAAAAGGGGGACGCTTGCAAGCCGAAGAACACCATCCCAACCATGAAGCACGGGGGTGGCAGCATCATGCTGTGGGGGTGTTTTGCTGCAGGAGGGACTGGTGCACTTCACAAAATAGATGAAATCATGAGGAAGGAAAATGATGTGGATATATTGAAGCAACATCTCAAGACATCAGTCAGGAAGTTAAAGCTTGGTCGCAAATGGGTCTTCCAAATGGACAATGACCCCAAGCATACTTCCAAAGTTGTGGCAAAATGGCTTAAGGACAACAAAGTCAAGGTATTGGAGTGGCCATCACAAAGCCCTGACCTCAATCCTATAGAAAATGTGTGGGCAGAACTGAAAAAGCGTGTGCGAGCAAGGAGGCCTTCAAACCTGACTCAGTTACACCACCTCTGTCAGGAGGAATGGGCCAAAATTCACCCAACTTATTGTGGGAAGCTTGTGGAAGCCTACCCGAAATGTTTGACCTAAGTTAAACAATTTAAAAGCAATGCTATCAAATACTAATTGAGTGTATGTAAAATTCTGACCCACTGGGAATGTGATGAAAGAAATAAAAGCTGAAATAAATAATTCTCTCTACTATTATTCTGACAAAAAGTAACAGTCAGTATCTGGTGTGGCCACCAGCTGCATTAAGTACTGCAGTGCATCTCCTCCTCATGGACTGCACCAGATTTGCCAGTTCTTGCTGTGAGATGTTACCCCACTCTTCCACCAAGGCACCTGCAAGTTCCCGGACATTTCTGGGGGGAATAGCCCTAGCCTTCACCCTCCGATCCAACAGGTCCCAGACGTGCTCAATGGGATTGAGATCCGGGCTCTTCGCTGGCCATGGCAGAACACTGACATTCCTGTCTTGCAGGAAATCACACACAGAACGAGCAGTATGGCTGGTGGCGTTGTCATGCTGGAGGGTCATGTCAGGATGAGCCTGCAGGAAGGGTACCACATGAGGGAGGAGGATGTCTTCCCTGTAACACACAGCGTTGAGATTGCCTGCAATGACAACAAGCTCAGTCCGATGATGCTGTGACACACCGCCCCAGGCCATGACGGATCCTCCACCTCTAAATCGATCCCGCTCCAGAGTACAAGCCTCGGTGTAACGCTCATTCCTTCGACGATAAATGCGAATCTGACCATCACCCCTGGTGAGACAAAACCGCGACTCGTCAGTGAAGAGCAATTTTTGCCAGTCCTGTCTTGTCCAGCGACGGTGGGTTTGTGCCCATAGGCGATGTTGTTGCCGGTGATGTCTGGTGAGGACCTGCCTTACAACAAGCCTACAAGCCCTCAGTCCAGCCTCTCTGAGCCTATTGCGGACAGTCTGAGCACTGATGGAGGGTTTGTGCTTTCCTGGTGTAACTCGGGCAGTTGTTGTTGCCCTCCTGTACCTGTCCCGCAGGTGTGATGTTCGGATGTACCGATCCTGTGCAGGTGTTGTTACACGTGGTCTGCCACTGCGAGGACGATCAGCTGTCCGTCCTGTCTCACTGTAGCGCTGTCTTAGGCGTCTCACAGTACGGACATTGCAATTTATTGCCCTGCCCACATCTGCAGTCCTCATGCCTCCTTACAGCATGCCTAAGGCACGTTCACGCAGATGAGCAGGGACCCGGGGCATCTTTCTTTTGGTGTTTTTCAGAGTCCGTAGAAAGGCCTCTTTAGTGTCCTAAGTTTTCATAACTGTGACCTTTAATTGCCTACCGACTGTAAGCTATTAGTGTCTTAATGACCGTTCCACAGGTGCATGTTAATTAATTGTTTATGGTTCATTGAAAAAGCATGGGAAACAGTGTTTAAACCCTTTACAATGAAGATCTGTGAAGTTATTTGGATTTTCACTAATTATCTTTGAAAGACAGGGTCCTGAAAAAGGGTTTAGAATCATAGCCGCACAGGTTCTGGAGGAACTGCAGCACACCTGATCAATTTAAATGAATTTGCCAAAGTTATAGAATTACTGCTGTCTGTTCATAAAGAAATGAAATAATTCCGAATAGCCTACTAAACCATTAAAATGTATATAATTTAACCACAGAGGATCAATAGCTTATTTTTTAAAAATAGCCTAGTTGTGGCTTGTGTGTAACCCAATAACAAGGCATAGCCTACCAACCTAGCCTACAGTCGGTAACGTGCAGCAAATCTTTCAGTGAACAGCATGCAGACAAAACAGGCTTTTCCCAATATTTCAAATACAATCGTGGGAAAACACAGGTTGGAAAGCAAATGGCTCCTGCTGAAAAGAGAAGAATCTAATCTATCTTCTGTAGGCTACCAAAATATTTGATCAACTTCCAAATATTGTTTTACAAAGTAAGACAAGACAGAGAGGCTTTTGGCATCACCGGCGAGTGAGCTGCGTATCATTTGGGGAGTCAGTGAAACTGGAAAGCATTTTTAGGACTATAATTTCCTCATAATGTAGCCTGCAATATGTGTCTCCACACACCTAGGCCTAGGATATTGATGGATTCAAGACAAGGTCATTTTTATTGATCTCAGTTTGTCAGTGTCATTTTGATCATTTGTGTGGTATTAAAGATTCTGCCAAAGTCTCCAGTCATGTAAAATGCATGAAATGGGTTTATAAAAAGCCTAACATTTTCCCCCGTGTGTGCAACTTCTGTAAGGCCACTACTCTACTGCTCTATGCCACTACGCAAATGCGATGATATGCATACAATGCTTTATTATAACTTTTTATTTTGATGTGTTCCGGTACATCAGAGCTCCCAAGGTCACCCCCCTCTCGTGCCCATTTTTTGTTCCGGCACCTCCCGATTTACAAATTTAAGCACTGGTTAAGTTGATAATTTCATAACGAGTATAGCAATCACTTTTGCTACCCGCACTGCATGGTCGAAGCGGGAGAAGAAAAGCTCACTCTGAGTCAAAACATCCAAACAGTCTACCATTAGATTATGAGACTGGGGTGAAATCCAAAGTTGTGCTATATATTCATTGGCTATGTCATAGCTAATTGTTAAAGATAAATATTGATGCATTACTAGCTCTAACACATTTAATCTGCAAAAAAAAAAGTAACAATTAATTAGTGGGTGATGGTGATTTCACATAGAAAATGGGTGGGTGGGGGGGGGGGGGGGGGGGGGGGGGGGACAAAAGCTTTGTCCCCCCTAACTGATAGTGGGGTGGTAGATGCCCAGTTTCCCTTATGTCTCAGCTTAGGTGCCTACAAATAACAGACATATACATCATTTACACACACACACACACACACAGAAGTCCAGCTCAGAGAGTCCCAGCTCATAAGGTCCATCAGCAGCTAATTTGAATTTAGAATGGTAAATTAATATGTTTATGCAACAAATGCATCGAATCATATTGCGTCGAACTGAATCGCATCGATTCGTTCCTCTAATCAAACCGAATCTCAACTAATCATTTCAAACCAAAATGTATTGTATCGGAGCCCATGTATCTAGATACATATTGAATCATCTTGAAAGGGAGAGATGCACATCCCTAGTGTCTAACCAATCTTACTATGTTGTTTTCTTGTTTGTAGTTTTGGGAATGCAGCTCTGGATGAAAGAAGCATTTTGGCCCCTCTGTATCAATGTTGCATGTGAGTTTACACACACACACTGAAAATACTAATGTTTCTGTCAGGAATCACAACCCATTTCTCCTTTCTGCAGTGTATTTATGAGCTGTTTTACATTCTTACATCTCTCTCTCCCTCCATCTGTCAGGGTGCGTTTGTCTACGTGGAACAGGTTGAACCTGCTGAGGGCAGGGGCTCTGAGTTCAGCCATGAGACAGGCCCTGACCTTTGACCCCATCAACCCCGTCCTGGCCGAGCCCCACCTGGCCGCCCTGGACAGACGGCTGTCTGGTGTCATAGCAACCATCCGGCAGTGTGTGGAGTCGCAGGGCCCTGACAACACACTGATAGAGGACCGCATGAACCTGCCACACCCCTAGAGGACAGGAGAAAGAGGGATGGAGGAGAGGAGAGAGACCTGTCCCATCCCTAGAAGAGGACAGGAGAAAGAGAGGGATGGAGGAGCGGAGAGAGACCTGTCCCATCCCTAGAAGAGGACAGGAGAAAGAGAGGGATGGAGGAGCGGAGAGAGACCTGTCCCATCCCTAGAGGAGGACAGGAGAAAGAGGGATGGAGGAGAGGAGAGAGACCTGTCCCATCCCTAGAGGAGGACAGGAGAAAGAGGTATGGAGGAGCGGAGAGAGACCTGTCCCATCCCTAGAGGAGGACAGGAGAAAGAGGTATGGAGGAGAGAGACCTGTCCCATCCCTAGAGGAGGACAGGAGAAAGAGGGATGGAGGAGCGGAGAGAGACCTGTCCCATCCCTAGAAGAGGACAGGAGAAAGAGGGATGGAGGAGAGGAGAGAGACCTGTCCCATCCCTAGAGGAGGACAGGAGAGAGGGATAGATAGAGGGAGGAGGGAAAGGAGAAGCTGTCTCACTCTGAGAGAGAGGGAGGGTTTTTGCCATGCTAGGAGGAGCTGGATGATAAAGCCCCTCCCACACTCCCCCTCCTCCTCTCACGGCCTCCCAGAATGGGACAGGAAATCACCCCAGCAGCAGGAAGTGGTGTCCTCTACAAACTGTTTCCCTCCACACTAGAACACTTGAACCTAATGGGATCCATATCTGTATTTCCAATGTCTCTCCTCTGCCTTCCACACACACGCAAACACACACACACACACACACATCGTGCCAAACCCTCTCCCTCTCTCGTCCAGTATTAACGAGGGAACCAAAGCCATAGGACTCAACCCAGCGACACTCAGGATAGCAGGGGTCGCTCACACGGCCATAACACCCCGCTCCATGTGGAAACAACACTCCCAGTGAAATCCACTGGACAGACAGTGGAGAGAGAGACTGGCTAAATGACCATAGGGGGGCAGCAAGGGGAATTTTTTGGTCAGTCTGTGATTGTGACTGACAAACAGATGTGTCTCTGTCCGAAATGGCACCCTATTCCCTATATAGTGCATAAGGCTCTAGCCAAAATTAGTGCACTGTATAGGGAGGGAATTGGGTGCCATTTCAGATTCTGCCATCTGACTATGGATGTGTCTCGAATGGTGCTCTATTCGACATATATTGGTTTTGGCCCCAGTTTCTCATACCTTATTCCTATTAATGAATTAAAAGCACTTTCAATAGAGATTCTTGGCTAAGCATGCTTTTTTAGTCAAGGATTATACTTTATCTGGGTCCAAGAAACTGGCCTATAAGGTACTGTAGGGCTTTGGTCAAGACTAGTACATTATTCTGGGAATAGGGTATCCTTTGAGTGTGTACGTACTGAACTAACTGTTGAATAGCATTACTGAGAGAGTATAATTATGATAATTGTATTATTAAAGAAACCTAATTTAGTGTCATGTTTGGATGGTGTGTGTGTGCGCGCGCGCATGAGTGTAGGGCAGGGGTCGGTCACCCAAAAAACGGCCCGCAATCAGGTTTGGTCAAAAAAGACTGTAAAATCACCAGGAATCCTGCAAAAAATGTGTAATTTAGGAAATCTGTTCCCAAATATTCCCACAAATAAAAAGAGATGTTATCATGTCTCAATGTAATCAAGGTATGAAATTATTGTTATTTTCAAATACAATCTCTTTTTGGGCTTAGTTGTGGTGACTTTGCAGTGTTCATTATTTTGTTCCCCCCCCTCCCCCCGACCATCTGCCCCGACACAAATTGTCCCGTTGCTGAATCTAGTTCTCTATACCTGGTGTAGGGGGTGCCATACTGTAGTTGAGTATGCTATTGACGTTAAAGAGTGAATTTGGGACAGGGAGGGGAAAATGGGAAGTTTGGGGCTATATAGGTGTGTAATGTTTTCAACATAAATTATCTATTTAAATATTCTGTATTTCAGTGTTCTGTATAAAAACAAGTAATGGCTCCTATTCAGTTGGCTTTTCTTGTATAGGTGGTTTATACAGATATTCATTATCACACTTTTGTTTCTGAGAATTTTCCTGCACTGCAGGAAATGCAGATGAGATTCATGATTTACATAAATTCACTGACAACCTGCATTAATAGTTTGAGCCCAATTCTACTGGTCAAATTAAGAGCTTACATCTGTACATGCTTTCGTATAGATGCTCCTATATAGAGGGTCTAAAGATGCTCAAACTATCAACTGTTACTCTATTTGCAACAACTTATAATTTTTACTGTTCCTCCCTTTAGAGGGAGCCAGATCACTGCAGTAGAGACCTCTAGAGACAGACATACCAGACGGGACAACCGATGCCACCACTTCTCTCTCTCTCGCTTCTATCTTGCACAAATGGCCTGAGGTCATCTGTGGCATAGCCTGGTGTTAACAGATTAAAAGCGAGAGATACATTTCTAATCACAGATGTATGGCTAGAGGAAAGAAAACACTATGAAAGGCTGTGTGTCAGATGAGTGGTGGTGGTGGTAGCCTCAAATGATGTCATATCATTTATAATCAGACAACTCTGGAAGTTCCTCCTGTGACTGGCTGGCCTGAATATTGCTTGTGTCTGCTGGAAGTTGTTGGGTGTTAACCCTTTAATGATGGCATTTATACAGATACAGTGGGGGAAAAAAGTATTTAGTCAGCCACCAATTGTGCAAGTTCTCCCCCTTAAAAAGATGAGAGGCCTGTAATTTTCATCATAGGTACACGTCAACTATGACAGACAAATTGAGAATTCTTTTTCCAGAAAATCACATTGTAGGATTTTTAATGAATTTATTTGCAAATTATGGTGGAAAATAAGTATTTGGTCACCTACAAACAAGCAAGATTTCTGGCTCTCACAGACCTGTAACTTCTTCTTTAAGAGGCTCCTCTGTCCTCCACTCGTTACCTTTATTAATGGCACCTGTTTGAACTTGTTATCTTATATAAAAGACACCTGTCCACAACCTCAAACAGTCACACTCCAAACTCCACTATGGCCAAGACCAAAGAGCTGTCAAAGGACACCAGAAACAAAATTGTAGACCTGCACCAGGCTGGGAAGACTGAATCTGCAATAGGTAAGCAGCTTGGTTTGAAGAAATCAACAGTGGGAGCAATTATTAGGAAATGGAAGACATACAAGACCACTGATAATCTCCCTCGATCTGGGGCTCCACGCAAGATCTCACCCCGTGGTGTCAAAATGATCACAAGAACGGTGAGCAAAAATCCCAGAACCACACGGGGGGACCTAGTGAATGACCTGCAGAGAGCTGGGACCAAAGTAACAAAGCCTACCATCAGTAACACACTACGCCGCCAGGGACTCAAATCCTGCAGTGCCAGACGTGTCCCCCTGCTTAAGCCAGTACATGTCCAGGCCCGTCTGAAGTTTGCTAGAGTGCATTTGGATGATCCAGAAGAGGATTGGGAGAATGTCATATGGTCAGATGAAACCAAAATATAACTTTTTGGTAAAAACTCAACTCGTCGTGTTTGGAGGACAAAGAATGCTGAGTTGCAGCCAAAGAACACCATACCTACTGTGAAGCATGGGGGTGGAAACATCATGCTTTGGGGCTGTTTTTCTGCAAAGGGACCAGGACGATTGATCCGTGTAAAGGAAAGAATGAATGGGGCCATGTATCGTGAGATTTTGAGTGAAAACCTCATTCCATCAGCAAGGACATTGAAGACAAAACGTGGCTGGGTCTTTCAGCATGACAATGATCCCAAACACACCGCCGGGCAACGAAGGAGTGGCTTCGCAAGAAGCATTTCAAGGTCCTGGAGTGGCCTAGCCAGTCTCCAGATCTCAACCCCATAGAAAATCTTTGGAGGGAGTTGAAAGTCCGTGTTGCCCAGCGACAGCCCCAAAACATCACTGCTCTAGAGGAGATCTGCATGGAGGAATGGGCCAAAATACCAGCAACAGTGTGTGAAAACCTTGTGAAGACTTACAGAAAACGTTTGACCTGTGTCATTGCCAACAAAGGGTATATAACAAAGTATTGAGAAACTTTTGTTATTGACCAAATACTTATTTTCCACCATAATTTGCAAATAAATTCATAAAAAATCCTACAATGTGATTTTCTGGATTTTTTTTCTCTCATTTTGTCTGTCATAGTTGACGTGTACCTATGATGAAAATTACAGGCCTCTCTCATCTTTTTAAGGGGGAGAACTTGCACAATTGGTGGCTGACTAAATACTTTTTTTCCCCCACTGTACAGTCCATGTTTATTAATAATGTGACAAAGGGGGTCTGTTACTGGTAAGTCAATCCTTGTTGAGCTAACTGTAAAAACCTCACTTTACGTGTTAGAGCTAAACTTCAGCTGTCAGATACAAGGGGGAGTCCCCTGGACAACACCGCTGGAGAATGGGCCTTCTCCCCATCACTGGGGGGAAGATGGCGCACACACCATTGATATGTGTGATAACAGCCCACTCATACCCAGAGTCAGGCCTGGTCTCCCAGTATCAGGGTGGGAGGAACATGCACATACAGTCCTAGGGAGTCTCCCCATGTGTGATTGTATGTGGAACAGATCCAGCACTGAGCTGTATCCACCCATCATTTCCACTTATACCAGCCAAAATAACACAAGCACGCGCAGACACACACGCACTTTCATTGGATCGTGTTTACAGAGATGCTTGGTTTCATGTTCTTTCTCTCCCTCCGCTCCCCGCATCGCGCTGTTTTGATGCACCTTCGCAGGTTCATTATGAGTCAGCGACAGCAAAAACATGTCACACACACCGATATCAGATGGGGGGATGTATGGGGGATACAGTACACACTAGGTGGGCTCTTCCAAATAAGTTTATCCCTGTGATATGTCTCCATGTCTGTTTTATGACTGTGGGGGTCGGGTTTTTCTGTGTGATCTCCTCCCGCACTAACACACAACTCTACCCTACATCCCAAAGTTCACTCCACTGTATACTTTTATGCACTAGGTGGTTGTTACTCTAGGTGGTTCAGTGAACTACTGG